CTCCTAAGTTCGACCACATAGTGGTGGCGATAGAAGAGGGGAAAGACTTGTCGAAATTGACAAAGGAAGAGCTTCAAGGGACGCTTGAATCTCATGAACAAAGAATGAATGAAAGAGTTACAGGAAAATCGAAGAGTGATGTGGCCTTGCAGGAACATTCAGCAAAAGAAACCAAAGGCAAAGGAAAGTGTTTCGACAGAGGTAGAGGTGGCTACAACAAATCGAATGGTAGATGAAACCAGATCAAAGGAAACATGTTAAATCAAAGAAGGACATACCAAGGAAACCAAAGAGGTGGTGTTTCAAATAGAGGAAGAGGTGGTGGTCGAAAACCTGATAAGAGTTACATTCAATGTTACAATTGTCATAAGTATGGTCACTATTCGAGTGATTGTCCAGAAAAACAAAAGAATCGAGAAAGTGATGCAAAGCTTGCAAAACATGAAGAAAAAGAAGAAGAAGAGATGATTCTGATGGTCACAACAAAAGATGAAGATAGATTCAAGGACTAATGGTACTTGGATTCAGGATGTTCATCACATATGTCTGAAAGGAAAGACTGGTTTGTCAATATAAAGCCCTCAATGAAAAATATGGTAAAATTTGAAAATGACAATACCCTAGCAACTGAAGGTATTTGTGATGTTATGATTATGAGGAAAGATGACAAGAGGTCAGTAATTTCTAATGTGTTGTACATACCAGGCATGAAGAGCAATTTGCTCAGTATAGGGCAGTTGGTCGAAAAGAATTATAAAGTTTCAATCGAAGATAAGATGATGAGAGTCGTTGATGCAAATAGGAGATTAATCTTGAAGGCTCCTATGTCTCAGAATTGAACCTTCAAGATTGAACTTAATGTGATGGAGCATAAGTGCCTTTCGACTGCAGCTAGCAGAGATGAATGGATATGGCATTATAGACTAGGCCATCTCAACTTCAGAGACATCAGAGATTTGAAGAGAAGAAATATGTTTTCAGGATTGCTAGAAATCGACATTCCAAACGAGGTATGTGAGGAATGTGTGCAGGTGAAGCAACACAAGAATAGCTTCAGCAAGGATGCAGGAAGCAGGTCGAAGGCTAGTCTTGAAGTCATATATTCTGATGTGTGTGGACCAATCCAGGTGGATTCGAGGGGAGGTAACAAATACTTTGTACATTCATAGATGATTTCAGTCGAAAGCTGTGGACTTATCTGATCAAGAAGAAAAGTGAAGTGATCGAAGTATTTGCCAAGTTTAAGTCTATGGTCGAAATACAAAGTGGTCGAAAGCTCAAAGTTTTGAGAACTAATTATGGTGGAGAATATGTGTCGAAAGACTTCGACAGACTATGTGAAAAGGAAGGGATTGTGCATGAGGTGGTGCCACCCTATACTCCACAACAAAATGGAATTGCAGAAAGGAAGAATAGAACCATCATGAATATGGTGAGAAGTATGTTGAAAGGCAAGAATTTACCTAAAGAGTTTTGGGGTGAAGCTGTTTCGGCTGCAACATACATTTTGAACAGATGTCCTACAAAGAAGCTAGAAGGAATTACTCCAGAAGAATGTTGGTCTGGTGTGAAGCATAGCTTGAGTCCTCTTAAGGTATTTGGATCTATTGCACATAGACATGTGCCAGATCAGTTGAGAAGAAAAGTTGATGACAAGTCAAGTCAAATGATTCTAGTTGGATATCATTCGATAGGAGGCTACAAGTTGTTCGATCCAGTGAAAAAGCAGATTATGATCAGTAGGGACGTGACCATAGATGAGTTTAAAGAACAGGATTGGACTAAAAATGTCAAGAAAGATTCAGTGGGAATCCTATTCGAAGAGCCAGAAACTCAAGTCGAAAGAGAAGTTCGACAAGAGGAACCAACAGATATACCAAGTACAAGCAGACCTCAAAGAACAAGACGCATGCCTGCAAGATTGCAAGATTGTGTGATTACATCAGAGATGTGATATATGATGAAGGTGAGCTGGTACATTATGCTTTCTATGCAGATGTCGAACCCATTAATGCAGCTGAAGCATTGAAGGATTCGAAGTGGGTGAAAGCAATGAACGAAGAAGTGAAGTATATCAAAGACAAAAACACTTGGTCACTTGTCGAATAGCCTCAAGGCAAGAAGGCAATTGATGTCAAGTGGGTATACAAAGTGAAAATGAATTCGAAAGGTGAAGTAACTCGACACAAACAAGGCTTGTGGCGAAAGGATTTCTACAAAAAGAAGGAATAGACTTCGATGAAGTTTTTGCACCTATTTCTAGGATCGAAACAATCAGGTTGATTGTTGGTCTAGCAGAAATAAACAGTTGGCACATATGTCAGATGGACGTGAAGTGTGCATTCCTAAATGGACCCTTAGATGAAGAAGTCTATGTTAAACAACTAGTTGGGTTTGTGAAACATGATGAAGAAAGAAAGGTGTATAGGCAGCATAAAGCCTTGTATGGATTGAAACAAGCTCCAAGAGCTTGGAATAAGAAAATTGATAGCTTCCTAAGGGAGAAGGAATTTGTAAAGTGCACAACTGAACATGGAGTATATGTAAGAAGAAGCAATAATGAATTTCTTATACTATGTCTCTATGTAGATGATTTGTTGATAACAGGTAGCTGTAAAAATGAGATCGAAGACTTCAAAGGTGATCTCAGCAAGGAATTCGAAATGTCTGATTTGGGTGAGACTTCATATTTCCTTGGCATCGAATTCTAAAAGAGAAGTAGAGATTTGATGATACATCAAAGAAGATATGCAGGAGAAATTCTCAAGAGATTTGAGATAGAAGAATGCAACCCAACTTCGACACCTGAAGAACTAAGACTACAACTGTCGAAAGATGCAGATGAAGATGATGTTGATCCAACTCAATACAGAAGACTTATTGGATCATTGAGATACTTTTGTCATACAAGGCCTGACTTAGCATACAGTGTAGGTATGGTAAGTAGATTCATGCAGAAGCCAAAGGTATCACATCTAGCAGCAGTGAAGAGGATACTAAGGTATCTCAAAGGAACTTTCGATTATAGAATTTTGTTTTCTGTAGCTGATAAAAGAAAAGAATGCAAGTTAGTGGGATACACTGATTCGAGTTGGTGTAGTGATGCTGAAGATCGAAAGTCAACAACAGGATATGTGTTTATGCTAGGTGGTGCACCAGTTTCTTGGAATTCAAGAAAGAAACCAGTAGTGACATTATCATCATACGAAGCAGAATACATAGCTACTTCTCTTTGTGCATGTCAAGCAATTTGGATGGTGAACTTGGTCGAAGAGATAACAGGGAAAAATCATGGAGCAATTACCATGAAGATAGACAGCATGTCAGCTATTAATCTGGCGAAGAACCCAATAGCACATGGTCGAAGTAAGCACATCGAAATGAGGTTCCATTATCTTCGAGAGCATGTAGCAGATGGGAAGATGAATTTGGAACACTGCAAAATTGAGAATCAGATTGCAGACATCATGACGAAGGGAGTGCAAGTCGAAGTATTCAGAAGACTAAGAGCCGTGATGAACATAGATAGTTTAGACACAATGAATTAGGTGGTGTGTTGAATTGTAATTCAGTGTGTCGAAACTATGTGTCGAAAAGATTTGATTTGTTTTAGATTTAAATAGATTTGATTTAAGTCTAGAATAAATTAGATTTGATTTAGTAACAAAAAGATATTTTAGACTTTGGGCTTAGGGTGTAAGCTCAGTTATAAATAGAGGGAGTAACCCCTATTTTTGTAAGCAAGTCAAGCAAGTCATTCACAGTATTTTGCAGTTGCAAAGTGAATAATAAAATTTTCACAGTTTGTGAGCAAAGAGAAACTCTGCAGAAATTAATTGTCTTGTCTTCTTTTCTTTGTTTTTCTCATAACTAATCGTCATTGTGGTAGAAATTCATCATATCCTTTCAGTGGATTTGCAACAATTGATGACTTAATACTTATGTGTGGGGTTGTATTTGAGTTATTGATGACTTAATACTTATATGTGAGATGAATGTGAGATACCTAATAAAATATTCAAATATACCTTAACTAGGTAGAAAGGTGGAGAGTGATTTAATGGTTTAGATCGATAATCTACTAAGATTAATATCTCACCTCACATTGTTATAATATTTTTAGATAAGCGGGTATTCAGATTGTATGCAATTTCATAATTAACACTGAAGGCTTGATGGAGTGTCCTTCCGCTATGTTAAAGAATTCAAGTGATAGTTGATTCATTAGTTATTCTAATGTTTTATTGTAATTTTTTTAATGTGGTCTATTTTACATATTTATATTGATATATCCAATACAATTATTAATATTATTAATTGATATTTTAGATATATGACTATGAGTATTAAAAGGCTTATCTCTCTCTCTTCTGAAATAATGATCTCTTTGATGAATAATTTATAAATATCTCTATAAGCATCTCGTGGTATGTTCTAACAATAGAATCTCCTAAATCCAATTCACCTAATCTTCCTTCTATAAAAAAAACCCTCCCCTCATTTTTTCTCTAAACCTTCAAAGAAATCATTATGCAATATACTCTCTTGAATTAGCATTTCCCCTAATATTAACAAATTTAGATAAAATCGTTTTATAATTTTTATTTATTATAGACATTTTTTTAATTGAGGTTGGACATTTAGTTCTTATTAGGATAAAATAAAATTAGATAACTTTGGAGGGGAGATATATTGGAAGCCTTTTTCGAAAGGTTGCTATTGATTAAAGTCATTCTATGCCTCATTGGGAGTAAAAAGGAAAGCATAGCATTATTCTTTGCCTCTCTCTTTTTAAATTTCCACAAGCACTTTGCAATATACAAATAAAAAACAAAATAGTAAAACGTTTCATTTGAATTCTAACTTACATTTTCACCACAGAAATCATCAATATTCAACCATTTCAGCAAAAAAAAATGTTACAACTTTTATTTGCACTTTTGTCAATAGAATTAACAGTAATTCTAATACTCTCATTTGCAAATCCAATAAGAAAACTAATGGTGAAAGTGTTAAATCTTTTGAAACGTGGAAGAGGTCCATTAATCACAAAAACCGTAGCAACAACTGTGTTTGTTGTTTTTGGTTCCACCATATATACTATACTCAAAATCCATAAACGTTCAATGGATTCTGGCAGTGTTAATCCAACTGAAGAAGTTCTAATGGCACATCATCTCTTAGAAGCATCTCTTATGGGTAATTATTCAAATATTTTCTCTTTTTTTTTTTTTTAAATTTAATTTATTTTAAATATTGACATCCGATCTTGCAACCGACTAATGTAAAGAGAACGATCGCATCATCCGCTTGCAGGGTCCTGGTTAAAGTCAGATCAAAGATCTTTATGAACTTGACCTAACACAAAAATTGTTTGCAGCTAAATTCTTTTAATATTTAATTTGCATTATTATAATCATGGATTATTATTGTGCAGGTTTTTCTTTGTTCTTTGGATTGATAATTGATAGGCAACACTACTATGTTAAAGAGATTACTTCACTAAGGAAGAATATAGAAAAGGTAAAGAAAGTAAACCACAGTCATGAATCATCAAAGAGAAGAGAGATAGAGGAAATTGAGATGAAAAAGATTAATTAGTTGGAATATGAGAAAAAAAAGTTTGCCATAATCAATGAAATGGTTTAAACCTTATGAAGTGTGGTGTACTAATAATTGAGTTTCATATATGTATAGAATTGTTGAAATTATGTATTTATTGTTGATATGAGTGATTTATTTTAAATTTTAAGTAATGATTATTGAATATAAAGGGAATATTAAATTTAGAAATGTGTGTGTTTTACAAAAAGAAAAAAAATATTTTTTTTAAATATTCATACAATACATAAAATTTTTAAAATTGGTTTTACTAAACAACAAAAATTTAATTATATATTGTTAATCCAATTCAAATGAAAAAGTATCATTGGTTTTTATGAGTCAAAGTTAATTAACAATGCAAAGCAGTATATGTAAAAAATTAAAAATATAGTGTAAATATGGAATTTTTTTTTTTTGCAATAATTAGGTATTAAAAAAATATTTCACAAATAACCACGTTTCGGAAAAAATTACGCAAATAACCATGTTTCAGATGACTCTCCAAAGGAGGAGCCATCTCACTTGGCGCCTCCACCTAGGGTTTTGTCCTAGGCGCCATCTCACTTGGCGCCTCCTCTCTCTTTTAGTCAAGTGAGATGGCGCGTGCACTTTAAAAGTGAGAGGAGGCGCCATCTCACTTGGCTCCTAGGGCAAAATGTTGTTTTTATAAATAATTCGTCTGTTTTTCCGTAATTTCTCACACTTTCTCGCACTGTTTTCTTATTTTTTACTCTGTTATTTGCGTCATGACATCGCCCATGATTTTTATCAGGGATGGTTACGTTATCTTCTCCGCCACGAAACCTGCGATGAAAATGAAATTCTGGCACATTCACTCCATGGAGCGTCTGAAGAGGGAGTTGATGCGATGGCTAGATGGAGACATTGTGGAGGGGAAAAATTCAAAGGATCCAGCGAAGACGAATAACAACCTCACATGCGACTGGAAGACCTAATGTATGGTTGGAGGAAGTCAAAACAGACAGCGACGTAATGTTGATGATGCATGGGTCAGATGAAATTGTTTTAACAGTTGTAATTTCGTAGACGGAATATCGTTTTTTTTCTTGTACGCGTAATATTTATTGTAGCAAATACTGTTAACGAAAAACCCTAATGTTTACAATATAATGAAGGAAAGATTTTATGTATTACAATTTTTATGTGGTCGAGGCAGACGCCCGATTCGGACAATTTTTGCGATTGTGTCCGACCTGGCGGCATAACCCACACTTTCTTTCCAACTTGTCAAGGTCGTCCATTTCGGTTGTGATGTGCTTACTTTTGGGACGACCCTTCTTGTTCCTTCGCATTTGGTTATTGTGCCACACTATTTCGCCGTCGTATGCAGGCCAATAATCTGGTTTTGCTACCAAAGGAAAATTGTTGTTATAAACGTTGAGCAACATTTCAGATTTGTAAATGTGTGATAGAAGTTGTAGCGCGTCTTGATGGGTATAAGAACAAGCGATAATGACATGAGAGCAAGGCATACGAAAGGCTTGAAACTTGCCACAATCGCACCAACGAGAAGGTAGTATAACCCTATATTCTTGTCTTGACAGGCCTTCGTTGTGGTCGATTGTTTCTTTCACAATGAAGTTGTGGCTGTGTCGGTCAAACCGTATAACCATATGAGTGTTGGCTTTGGCACTTTCTGCCTTAATGTACTTCATGCAGCTTTCACTCCATAGTTTTCCAGATTGCAACACCGCATTCCATATTTCACCTCTTTTAGCAAACAATGAAGCCATCCTAAAATACGTAGATTTTACCAATGCAGTGATCGGGAGGTTTCGTATGCCTTTGAATACCCCATTCATTGATTCAATAAGATTCGTTGTCATGTGCCCCCATCTTTGGCCATTGTCGTATGACCTAGTCTATTTTTCCACCGGAATATTTTCGATCCACCTATCGGCTTCCGAATTTGACAAATGGATCTCGTTGCGGTAATATTTGAACGTGGGTTGTGTCAATGCATATCCCGCATTCATAACCGCTTTCCTTAGTGTTTTGTCCTTGATCTCCCTCGTGAAATTCTGAACGATATGCCTAACACAATAGACATGCGTAGAAGGAGGGTCATGCCAACCGTTTGCAGGATTATTGTAGGCACTTTCAATGGAGGCATGTTTGTCCGAGATCAAACAGAGATCCGGTTGAGGAGCCACGTGTGTTCGCAGGTTTTTCCAGAAAAAAGCTCCAAGCACCACTGGTCTCCCCCTCGACTAGGGCAAAGGCAATTGGGAAAATGTTGTTGTTGCCATCTTGTGCAATTGCCATCAGTAGCGTGCCTTTGTATTTTCCATACAACCAAGTCCCATCAATTTGTATAATTGGTTTTCATGATGCAAACCCTGTGATGCAAGGTTGAAATGCCCAAAACACTCGACTGAATATTCCGTTTCCGTTTAGTTGACTACCATCTTGGGCGTATGATGGCACTGTTTCCAGAACGTAAACAGTACCCGGAGAATAAGTCTTGAGTGCATTTAGGTAGCAAGGAAGTTCTTGGTATGACTCCTCCCAGTTTTCGTACACCTTTTCAATCGCCTTAGTCTTTGCTAACCACGCCTTACGGTAAGACGGAGTATAGTTAAAAACCGTGGTGATGTGGGAGATGATGGTTTTCACCTTCAAAGATGGGTCGTTGCTGACCAGTGGTAGGATTTCTTGACAAATGAGATCGTAATTAATTTTTCGGTGGTCCTGTGATTGGGTAGAACTTACAAAAGTGTGGGTAGTCATGGAACCTATGACCCAACAATTACCTCTTAATATGTATGATGCAGTGAGCTTGAACATACAATCAGGGTGGACACACTTGATCTTGTACCTTTCTGGGTTGACACGGTCCATCTTAAAATCGACCGAGTTGAGCATGTGGAATTTTTTTATGGCTCTGATGCATTCCTCTCTGTTACGAAACTTGTCCTTCTCTTTTAAGTTTTCATCCGACTACATATACGGATTGAAAAATAAATCAGTAGACAGTTCATCTCCGCCCATGTTGAAGTTTGTCATGTGCGGAGGTGGTCTGTAAATCTCGTTTGTAGGAATACTAGGTATGCCATCATCGTCGGAATCATCATTCACCATTTCATCAAACTCTAACTTGTCATCTTCTTCTTCTTCTTCATCAACTGCATCTACCTCTGCTTGTTCGTTCTCTAATGGATCAACCACTTGTGTCACCTGAGGCTCTCGCAACATAATGTACAACTCAATAGAGTCGTACCCAGAATACACATGGCTGAAAAACATATTCTGAAGATCCTCGTCATCTTGAACCTTAACCTTATAAAATATTATTTGGTTGTTTCCAAAAAAAACTGGATTCTGATAAAATATCTGTGTCAACGGGCCTCGTCCAAGTTTGGCCTCCAATCGTTTTTTGAAGTACGAGAAATTGGCTTTTCCGTTTAAAAGAAATCGGATGTTGTCTGTGTCTCTAAATAAAAAACCAGAGGTGGGACAAATGTATGTCTCACTGTTGAAATGTGCATTGATGACATATTGGGGTGCAAAGGCCATTGCGTAGGATTGTTTGAAGGTTTGAAGGTTTGAAGGTTGGAATGTTTGAAGTTTATGAGTTATTTTTAGGTTTGTATGTTTGATTGTTTGAAGGTTTGAAGGTTTGATTATATGAAGGTTGGAAGGTTGGAAGGTTGGAATGTTTGAAGTTTATGAGTTATTCGAAGGTTTGTATGTTTGATTGTTTGAAGGTTTGAATGTTTGATTGTATGAAGGTTTGAAGGTTAGAAGGTTTGACAGATTAAGTGAATCAGTGTTTTGATAAATGTAAGACTAAATAGGTCATACTGAATTTGAATTAAGTAAGGATGTAACCCCCAAGGCTGCCACCTAGCCTGCGCCTACTCTGCACCTACACTGTAACATGTAAGTCTCCTCCCATCACCTCCAATAGTGTTACATGCATTCAGGCATGGCATCCCCAAGGCTGTCACCTAGCCTGCGCCTACTCTGCAACCCATGACACCTCTTATTCGCCAATGGGGATGGAGACACCTTTCATTTTTGTACTCTTTCGCCAAGTCCAATGGCGCCTCCCTTAATTTCCAATCGTGTTACATGCATGCAGAGATGTAACCCCCAAGGTTTCCACCTAGCCTGCGCCTACTCTGCACCTACACTGTAACATGTAAGTCTCCTCGCATCACCTCCAATAGTGTTACATGCATTCAGGCATGGCATCCCTAAGGCTGTCACCTAGCCTGTGCCTACTCTGCAACCCATGACACCTCTTATTCACCAATGGGGATGGCGACACCTTTCATTTTTGTACTCTTTTGCCAAGTCCAATGGCGTCTCCCTTAATGTCCAATCGTGTTACATGCATGCAGAGATGTAACCCCCAAGGCTGCCACCTAGCTTGCGCCTACTCTGCACCTACACTGTAACATGTAAGTCTCCTCCCATCACCTCCAATAGTGTTACATGCATTCAGGCATGGCATCCCTAAGGCTGTCACCTAGCCTGTGCCTAATCTGCAACCCATGACACCTCTTATTCGCCAATGGGGATGGCGACACCTTTCATTTTTGTACTCTTTCGCCAAGTCCAATGGCGCCTCCCTTAATGTCCAATCGTGTTACATGCATGCATAGATGTAACCTCCAAGGCTGCCACCTAGCCTGCGCCTACTCTGCACCTACACTGTAACTTGTAAGTCTCCTCCCATCACCTCCAATAGTGTTACATGCATTCAGGCATGGTATCCCCGTGGCTGTCACCTAGCCTGCGCCTACTCTGCAACCCATGACACCTCTTATTCGCCAATGGGGATGGCGACAACTTTAATTTTTGAACTCTTTCGCCAAGTCCAATTGTGCCTCCCTTAATGTCCAATCATGTTACATGCATGCAGAGATGCCTTCTCCAAGGCTTCCACCTAGCTGCACCTACTCTGCAAGAGTGACACTTATCATGCATGCATGCACCAGCTACCACCTCAATTACTCTATGAAATTTTT